TTGGGCCTTGGTTTCTGTCAAACATAGGCATGGACCAGGTGGTCTTTGGTGTTCCTTCCAGAACTCTATGACCCAATGAATCAGTCACAAACAATTATCCAGTACTACTATGCTCTAGGCCCTGGGCTAGTTGCTTGGGATTCAAAGACAAACTTGAGAGGAGGAAGGCCATACAAATGTGGAGAGCCTTGTTCTCTAACAATCCAGTCAAACCGAGACGTCCTTGGTGTGCATCATCCTTCCAATGGTGACACTCTCAACCCATCCATGTCTGTCCAGCCCGCAACCCATAAACGTTATGGGAGTCACCACAGGGACTCAAAGCATTATTCTTTGCATTTATGTTGTCTAGTCACAGTCATTATGTGTATTACTTTTCTTTTTCTGCATCACTTCACATCTTCCCAAGATTCTTGACTTAGAAGCACCTTAATTTATTACTTGTATTATTTCTTATAGAGCAATGATACCCCATTGCATCCAGATAACTACAACTGGGTTTTCCATTTTCTATTATGAGAAATTCTATTTTGTTTCTAATTCCTTGCTGTGAAAAAGAGCATTACTATAATTATTTTCCTTTCTATGAGTCTTTCTTTATGTTGCTGACCTCCTTTGGATGTATGTCTAGCACTGGAACGTCTAGGTCAAAGGGCATGGACATTTTTTTAAACTTCCTTGATAAAATAGCAAATTGTTTTCCATAGTGCCTGGGCCAGTTTACGGCTCCATGAACAATGCATCAGTGTGTCAGTCTTTCCATAACCCCTCCAGCACTGACTCTTCTCGTTATTGTCGGCAAAGTTATTTTAATGACCCTAACAGTTTTCAAGAGAAGTTGATCTCACTGGTCTCTCCCAGGTTAAAGATCTTATGATTATGGTCTTGGAAAATCTTTAATCATCAAAAAAAATCTAGAACTAAAGAAAATGTCCCAAGAAATTTATTGAAAGAGTGTGGTAGAGGGTGTGTGTAGGGGGGGGCGGGTAACAGCTAGGTGGAGCAGTAGATAAAGTGGTGGGCCTGAAGTCAGGAAGCCTTATCATCCTGAGTTCAAATCCAGCCTCAGACACTGACTAGCTATGTGACCCTGGGCAAGTCACTTCACTCTGTTTGCCTCAGTTTCCTCATCTGTAAAATGAACTGGAGAAGAAAAAGGCAAAACATTCCAGTATCTCTGCCTAGAAAACCCCTGATGGGGTCACAAAGCGTTGGACACACCAAAAAATGACTAAACACTGTGGGGGAAAAAATTTGGGAGCGTTTTGTTCTGTTTTGGCCTGAAACCTTTGTTCTTTGCAGGTGAAGCAATTCACTTTGTGTACAAAAACGCCAGTGTCCTGAGTTGTTGCAAATTATTTAGCTGCAGACTGTCTCCTCTCTCATCTCCCCAACTTGCAAAATCAAATTTGATCACTGTCAAGAGCATGACAATGCAGTTCTCAATGATGAACTTAGTTAGTTACACCCTACTTACAGAGTTCCAAAAATAAACCATCATTAGATCTGTTATGGCTTATATATAAAATTAAATCTAGGATACATTTTTAAAATTGGAACTCTAGAGAAAGTGAACCATTTTGCATGTGTTTGTCAGTTCTGACTAAGATAAAATTGCCAGACTGTTTCTCTAATTGTGTTTATGTATACAGTGATTTTTTTTAAAGAGAAAATAACATAATTAATCCGAGTACATTCTTTTTCATAGTCAAAGATGCCTAGTGCATTCTCTTCTGCTAGCCAGAGATTTTTTGGAAACTAACACCCTTCCATGATGGATCACCAGAGTATGAGCTATAGAATCTGAGAGGACCATGTAGAGACTGATGGAAGACTGATTGATGGTTGTTTTAGACCACACCTCCTCTCTCACTGCTGACTCTATCAGAGGGAGGGATGGAGGCGGACCATCGCCTACTCTTTCTGCACTCCTCCCCACGTGATAGTCATGGAAATATCTTCGGGATGAGGACATCTCCACTCTTCTAGGCTTCTGCATTGTGATCGGCCAGCACCTTCCTTGGCTTCTCTTTCTCAAATCTCGGCATAATTGTTCCATCCTGATGTGTATGTAAGTAGTAGGTGAAGTTTTGGACAATTCCGTCAAGACTCCCTGACGTGGCCACATTTCAAGTCCCAAAGGCTATGGGATGAGAAGATGCTAGCATTTAGAATTAGACCAGAATTGAAATATCATCTAATCTAGGCCAGTCCTCTCACTTAACATATGTGAAAACTGAGGCAACTCATTCAAGGTCACATAGGAAAAAAGAAGTAGAACCAAGTTTCAAATCCTGGTCCTTTGACTACAACATTCTTTCCACTATGGAGACTTTGGGCAATTGTGTAAAGAGGCTTTATATAACCATTTCACAGAAAAAAAAATTAGGTAACAGGGAAGGAATTGTTTAGAAGATTTATTTTTTTTCTTATTTTATTCAATTTTATCTATGGCTCAAAATAAAGTTTGAGGAGTTTCTTTCTCTTGATTCCTCCAATGGCACCATGTTTTTACCATTAATTGTTGATATTTATATAAATGATGATACTGACAAAAAGGTAGCCTGACATGGTAGATGGAGTACTTGACTTGACATTAGGATGACAAGGATTTTACTCCCCCTGGGCAAGTCACTTCAACTATTACTGTCTCAGGCAACTCTCTAAGGCTGTAAGGGTGCTTGGAGATCTGCCTTGGCTGGAGGCAAGCTGGGGGCAGGGAGTATTCAATAGGAGTTCCTTATAATCACTGAAATCTCAGGTCAAGTCTGAACAACAGCAACAGAAACTGAACGTGAGAGACAGAGACACATGGGAGAGAAAAATTGAGTGTTTGCCTTGGAGCTGGAAGGAGCTGGGTTCAAATCCTGAGTCTAGCGTTCACTTCTTGTATGACCTTGGGCCAGTCACTTCAGTCTCTTTTATTAAATGGAAGAGTTGGACCAGAAGACCTAAGGCCTCTTCTAGCCCTAAACCTCGATCAGTCAATCGACAAACAATGATTAAGTCCTTACTACGTGCCAGGCATAGGGCTAAATGCTGAGGGTACAAAGAGAAAGCCAAAGCAGCCCCTGCCCTGGAGATGCTTCCATTCATAGGAATGTGGAAGGAACAGCAAGCTCCTTCCCAGTGACGAAGAGCCACCTGCCTCCTGGACCAAAGTCACCCGATAATGCAACGAAGGCCATCTTTTAAGATTGGCAATATATTGATGTTGAGTCAGACATCTGGAATTCAAGCATGTGATCATTTTCATGTCAAACCGTGCAAAGTCATTTGATAAAATGCTCAGCAGCAGTTCCCACACATTTCCAGAAGGCTCACGGAAATGGAAATGGGCCCCAATAGAATTCATGTGATTCTCCTGCGTTGAAATCACAAAACGTTCTTCAAATACAAGGTGGGCCTCTAGAAAGGGGCCATAAGGAGGTGCAGTGGTCAGAGCACAGGACTAGGAGTCAGGAGGACCCAAGCACTGGGCACAAGTCCAGCTTCAGACACTTGGTGGGTATGTGACCCTGGGCAGAGAACATCCGTACAATGGGAATACTAATAATACCTACCTGCCTCTCATGGTTGTTACAAGGATAAAACAAGTTAGCTCATATAAAGCATTTTGCAAACCTGAAATATCTGGGTAAATAATAGCTATTATTATGATTAGAAGGATTCCCCAGCTGACCCACAGAACAGACGGCAATGGGCAGAGCCACTAAGTGGGTTCTTTGGGCCCGGCCTGGGTCATCCATTGCTTTGAATGGGCTGAGGGTTGAGGTGTGTTGGGAAGCAGGGACAGACTGGTATCGTAAAGGATGACTGGGACAGCACAACAGGGGACCAGACAAGAAAGGAATTCATTGCTGAGGTCTGGACCGAATCCCAGGACTGGATTCCATATAGGGGCTCAGATGGCGCACATTGCAGTGGCAATACTGATAGCTGGTATTCACATAGAACTCTAGGATTGGCCAATGTCTTTCAGCACGTCATTTCCTTTAATTCGCACAACAATCCTGTGAATGAGACAGGGACCCTTAAGGTACTGATGAGGAAACTGAGGCCCAGGAGTTTGAATGACCTACTCAGGTACATAGCTAAGAACTGCCTTTGGCAGCATTTGAATTCAGGGCATCCTGACCCCAAACTTGGTGCTTTATCCACTCTGCTGCCTAACTGCCCCTTCCAGAAAGGGTACTGAAGTCAGAAGACCTGAGTTCAAACATTGGCTTTGTCAGACAAATGACGGTGAAGGAGGTTGGTGTAGATGCCTCTGAGGCTTCCTTCAGCTCTTTCTCTGTTAACCCAATGCTCCGTTTTGAGGTTAATCGCAACAGCTCCACTCTCAGTCCTTGTAGCAGTCAGAAGCAGATATGTTATGCTAAGACGCCTTGAAAAACATATTTACATGCGATGCTTCCCGGATTCCAGTACAATACAAACCAACAGCAGTGACACACATCACAAGTCTTGGTAGAAATAATGCATGTGACAAATGTGCAAACCTGTAATCCTCACTCTCACAGCACACTCACTGGGTGCAGTTACCTGGCTGAACTACAAACGTGCACCTGGGGTATGGAAAGAGAGTGCCTTATGATGCCAAAATAAAGCCCAGTGAAAGGACGATAAGACCACCGAGTCATAGACGGAGCTGGAGGTGGCAACGTTTCATTTCCTCATTTCAGGCAAAGGACACCCCCGTGGTTACACATCTAGTGAGTGACCGAGCTGAGATCTGAACCCACCACCTGAGACCCCAAGCCCAGGGCTGCTTCCACTGAGGCAGCCCGGGGCCTTTCGCTGGAGACACGATTCACAATGAAGCCTTGTGCGGAAAGCTGCCCTAGAACCTTCCTTCAGAGCCCTAGGGAGAGTCCGGGCATCTCCCCGCCCCTGACACTAGACTTTGTGGGGCGCGGGGGGCCGGGGCTGCTTCTCAATAGCCTGAAGATACAGCGAACTCGAGGGCAGACAAGAGCCTTTGGCCGCAGCCGCCTTACCTGGCTTGAGGTGAGCAAACGGGATCTCTCCGGTGAGCAGCTCCCACAGGCACAGGGCATAGCTGAACACGTCCGCTTTGATGGTGTACCGCGTGCACTGGGTGAAGACTTCGGGGGCCATCCAGCGGAGATTCTGCACCCCAAAGACACGCGTGAGAGCGCCCTCCCGAAGCTGCGGACCTGCCTTCTTTGCCCATAGTTTTCCCGCAGAGAACCTGACTGCTTGAAATAATGAGGCTGTGCCATGGTACCTGTTCCTGGGCCCCCCCCCTCTCAAAGAGACGCATGTCTCCCGGGCACATGAAGACGCCCCCACTCTAAGCCTCATGACATCGTTCATCGCTAAAAGACTCCGGCCAGGCATGGAATGGCAGTGACAATGACCTCGGGTTTGCCGTTGGGGATGGCAGGGTGGGTTTGCGGGTTAGCCTCTCTGCCTGCCCCCTCTTTTCCCCCAGTGGAGCCTTAGGGCTCCCTAGTAGCAAATCAGTGAATCATGCAGAGACCTCTGTGGCGGTTCATTTAAGTGTTCCGGGCTCGGAAGTCTAAATTAAAAAAAGGAAAGGGGTCTTCAGTGTCCTGAGAAGAGCGAGGGAACCCTGGGGGGTCGTGCCCAACTTTAGCCACAGAGGAGTGTAGGTTTACAGCTGGACCTTGGGACCATGCAAGCCCTCATTTTATGAAAGAGGAAACTGAGTCACAGAGAAATGACCTGCTTTACTCCCGGTCACAGAGGTAGCTCAGGTTTAACCCTGTCTCCATAGTCATAGGTATAGACT